TACTGCAATCATAAAGCCTGTGGTTCAAAGTCAGTTTGCCACAAGCACGCTAAACATGATTGCATGAGCCTAATTTTAGATAAAGTAAAAATAAGGTTTTTTTGTTACTAAAATATTTTGTTGTCAACCTCTTGTTAAATTCAGAAATCTGATAACAAAATGGAAACAAGCCTTAGTTAATCCTTCATTTCAATGTTTGCAAGATACTTTTTCTAATGCAGAAATACTTTTTCCTTTAAAGTATATCTTGAAGTGATTAACAGCAATACTTATGTAGGATATGTAAATTCCTCCTTTATCTAGATCATTACTAGAGCCAGCCTTTTAAAGCAATCAGTGGCTGATTTTTTAAACATGATATTTATCCCTAGCTTGATATTGATATCCTGTACTGGTTATTGGTAGAGAGAGAGAGAGAGAGAGAGAGAGAGAGAGAGAGAGATAATGATGCTATCATTCTACTCCTAGGTTTAAATAAGGAAAAGTACAGTTTATTTAATTTTAAGCATATTTTTCTTAGATAATTATCAAGTAGTACTTCAGTCAACATGAAGCCCCAGTGTCTTCATAGAAAAGCAGAAAAGACAGTATATTAATAACCTCTGGGGCTTTAATTCAACCTTTTCATTATATGAGTGGGAAAGTGCTGTCATGAAGACGAGGCTGGATTTTTCTGTTTTGTCACAGCTGCTTGTACATCATGGGATGTAATCTCTGGAAAACCCTGATAATGGAAGGGCAGGTCAACGAGAGGGGTTTTCTTGCTAATATAGGAAAGGAGGATCTTGCACTGATGAAAACAACTTCATAAAATCTAGATCCATAATATATTATAAGCCATACCTGTAAATGGTTGGTGTTATTTTCCTGACTGAATATGATAACACAATTAAAATTGAATGTGTCCTTTTAGATTAAAAAGTTGGCTTGTCTAGGAATAGTTATGCACTGAAAAGAGTGTTTTAAAGATTAATGAATAATGTTAATTATTATTAATAATGTTAATAAATTTGTGTTGCAGGAAGACATATGTGATCTATAATTCAATTAAAATAGGAAACTAAGAGATGTGTACTGAATTACCATGGAGGCAGTGTTTTCTGCTAGCTCTTCTTGTTCTCTCACCCATAAAATCAGCATAAAATTGACCCCAGTGTTGCCAAAGCAGTTGGGTATCTAGAGATCAGTCTTCTCAGGAAAAGCGAACTCTTTGTAGTTCTCAAAATACATGGTTGTAGAATAGGATTATACTTTCTTGATTCTTTGTTTCTTCTTCTGGAGCCCCTATGAATAGTTGCTACAAATCTATAGTACATATGCTATAAACATAATCTCAGTGTAGAAACAAATAAATTATGGCAATTAGCTCAATAATTATCCCATTTTTTCTTGAAAGCTAGGACTACTATATATGGCTGAGTTGCAGTCACTTTTATTTTATTTCCTACCTTTTTTCCTTGGAAGAAACACAAGGCAGTTTATATAATTCTTCTCCTTCTCACAATCTTATCCTCTCAACAACAACCCCGTGAGGTAGGTGGGCTGAGAGTCTGTACCTGGCCAAAAGTCAGCCTCTTTGCTCCATGCCTGAGGAGGAATAAATTCTGATCTCCAGCCTGCCCTCTTAACCTCTACACTGCAACAATCATAGTTAATAAGGCCTGCTGTGTAACTTCCAGTATTTTGTAGATCAAAATGTGGAAATAAAGTATTTGTACTGTATCTGTTACTTGGCTGCTGTGCATTGTATCCATCTACTTTTGCTCAGATAGAGTGGGTCTTTCATATTGTCTAAAGCTCACCATGGCAGAAAACCAACTGCTATAGTGAAATGTAATATTTTACACTGGATGTGATGGTATTTATAGGTAGTTGTAGCTTGAACCATATTCTTTATATGGAGTTACTGGGGTGGAGAGGAGGAATGGAAGAGAAACAGTGCATGGGCATTTATTCATTTCATTTATATCCCACTTCTCTTCCTTTGTGATCCTATGTATTCTTTTATATACATATAATTTAGAGATATCTGTACAGGAAGCTAAAGCTTGAATAAATCTAGGATACATGCTTGCATATTAGCAACATGCTAAAAATCTGCTCCCAACATCTCATGCAGAGGCAAAATGGAACATATAGTCAATTAGATCATAGGCTGGTACAGAAATAGCATTGCCAAGAGATGAGAAACAAGGTGCTCTTCAGTGTTTCCTCTTCCTCCTGGTGTGATTTCTACCTGCCCTGCCTTATAGCTCCCAGTGATCACTTAGCAATTGTTAAATAATTGACGTTAGTTTGTGTTGAACTTCAGTAAAGATGGCTGCCACCCAATACTGTGGCAGCAAATATTTTCAGTAGGAATTGAAAGTATGTCCAGAGGAAAGCATATCCTCTTGGGAGCTGCATGATACCATCCACACCTTCACTTGATCATTTGCTTAGTACAAGTGGAGCTTTGTACCAAAGTTTTCAGATGTGTCTGCTCCAAGCTTAGCATACAAAGTGTTAATGGAGAAGCCCAGTATTGGAAAACTGCCTTGTATGTCATGAGAATGGAGAAATTTCCTTTTACAATAAAACAGTACTTTAAAGGTTCACGAAAGTAATTGGAATAAAAAATACTCTCAGTAAGAAACATAAAACACAGACGAGTGATGCATGGGATCTAATTTACAACTTTAAAAACAAAACTAATTTTGCCATTAATACACATATAATTATAAGTCACATAAGCAAAGCTGCGCAATGATCATGAGTAAAGAATTGTTTGTAACAAATCTTATACAACTTGGCAACGCATGCTACCTTTGCAGTCTGGTGTTATCACCTCATCTCAAAAGTGCATAAGCAGGACAGCGAAAGTGATTAAGGAAAACAACATTGTTGAGATTTTCTGTCCTTGTGTTAGCCACAGATGGGACATCTGTCCCTTGTCTGGGTATCAGCCATGGTGGACCTATCAGTTCTGAGGCTGCCTCTCTTGACGTTCTAGAGAAGCTGGTTATGTCTAGGCTTTGAGCAAATTTATAATGAGAAGGAGACATATTCTGGGGTGTTTATCCCATTGAGGGTTGTTCCTCTTAAAAACTATATAGGTATTTAATTAGGCCTTGGGAAGGAACACAACTTCCCACTATTTAACCAGTTGTAGCAAGTTGCTGCTTGAAAGCTGCCTTGAGTTTATTGCAAGAGGAGGAAAAGCAGGTATAAATGCAATGCAGTAATAATAATGATACTAGTGTGGTTGACACTGACAGGCAGCAACTTTCAAGGTTTTAGGGAAGAGTTTTTCCAATCCTATTGGAAATATTCATTATGTATATTATGAATATATATAAATTATATATTTTTAACCTTTCACTTTTTATCTAACAAGAAATGAAAAGAGCAGATTCAGGGTAATCATCCATCTACAGGAATAGTAGCCAATTATCTACTTTACCATCATATTCCAAGAAGTTGTAATGTTAGGTATATATTCCACCTGCTTCCTCATTGTTTTCCCTTAGGGAGCTGTTAAATGCCAAATCTGAGTAGATTGGTTACCCTAAATACATTTCAGATGTGTTCACTTGATACTCAGTCTGTGTCAGAGCGACACTTGAAAGCTCTTGAAGAATTCTTGCCTTGCTGGGGAAATGCACTTTCTATATTACTGTTGTTTACTGGCCGCCATGTGGTACTCTAGCATGAGGGCTATGAAGTATATGGAAACTGGGAGCCCAGTGTAGATGAAGAAGAGGTGTTATAACGCAAACCCTCTCTTGAGTGTGTATGCATTTGCATGCATGGATATGTGTAATTTCAAAGAGAGCTGTAGGGTAAGAATCCCTAACTTCCTTATTCTTGGAAGCCAACAGTCTTGCCTTCCAGTTATGGTGCATATGAACTCAACCACTGACTGGAGGGTTTGGTGGGCAGCTGTCTAAACGGAGTGCGATCATGAATGAACCATCGCTCTGATCCAGCATGACTTTTCCTCCATTCTTTTATGTATCCCGCAGAAAATATTATGTGCACACTTAGTGAGGTGTATATATTTGTATGGAATGTAACAGGGAAAACTATTTACAAAATGTCAAGTAAATTTGAAAGTGCAGTATGTGGGCAGATAAAATTGCGTGGATTGCTCTGAAATGCAGGATTTAGTTAATAACCTCTGATTAAAAATGAATGTATATTTTCAAGATTTATATGCAAACTAATTGAAGTTCATGAGACTATGGAACATTAATAGGCTCTGATTAATCATATATAAGAAAGACTAACTACTAATACATTGTAACAAACAGAATTGTTCAATGTGTTATGAAAATGAACACTTTATTTACTGTGTTTTTAAAAAAAGACCTTGAAAATACCTCATTATGAAGACACCCCTTGGATGTTCTGCAAAATGGATGCCTAGAGGTCCATACTCTGGAAAGTCTAAACCTGCACGCAGCTATATATATATTTTAAAAAATACTGCTGCTCTGCATAAAAATCAAATATAGTATAGCAGGTGCCAAGCTGCAGCTGGTGAACATGTTGTATTCTTTAATATTCTCAATCCGTAATCTTAATCCCAAATGTGGGAAAAAAATCTCAGTAAAATACTTGTAAAACAGTGAGAAAGGCTTAAATTGTGACATTTGAAAAAAAATATTTTGTATCTTCTAATTCCCTTTCACAGATTAAATATTGGAATAACTTTTTTTACAGACATTGAAAGAACAACAGTTAAAAAGGACTGAAAAATATTCTGTATGGAATAATTCCATATTGAATAATTATATGCAGTTCAAATAATTTTATGCAGTTGTATCAACAAATAGGTAAAGAGTTTAATGAATATGAAATTTAAAAATCTTTAAATAATCCAGTATTTTAGTTTTGAGTTACTTTTTCTGTACCTGTCTGTGAGCCTGAAGCTACTTTGACCCTCTTTAATATTAATATACGCTGCTGTAAGACTGTTCTTTTGCCTCTGATTAATGCTGTCTGTCAATTATTTACAGATCCTGTGGTTTTGTGGAAGTTCCCGGAGGACTTTGGAGACCAGGTTAGAAACATGAAATTGATCTTTTTAAAATGATGGATTAATAAAAAATAATAGCAATAATAATAATAATATCAGCATCATCTGCTTTCCCACAGCTTTTATACCTTTCCTATTCAGCTGTAGAAAGGCAGATGGCTGATGATAACAGTAAGAGTCTTTACCAGCTGACTTGATTATTAGAATGCATTTGCGGCATTTGCTTTCATGGGTTTGGTTTATCACATTATTATTTTTAACCTGTGTAAAACAATATGACCAAACTCTCCTGGCAGTATTCTTTTTCTTTTGCAGTTCCATTGGAATAAACTAAAATAAAAATTGATGCACGCTATTTTGAGTAAATTAAATTATCATGGGTGGTGCCTATCACCAATGATAAACCGAGTACTTGGTTTTGGGCACACTTGCATGAAAAAGCTTTCAGTTTCACTACTGATATAACACATTGGTTGGGTATATTGTGCATCACCAAGGGTACTGCAGCATTCATGAAAATATTCTCCCATCCAACAGAGCTACTGTGACACCTTGGCAGGTAAACAATCTCAACAGGAGCTAATACTTGCAACAAAAAAGTGGTCTTCTTATAACTACTGTGTTTTAACTGGAGGTAGTTTACAGGAGGAGAAGATATTTTTATTTAATGCATTTATTTAACTCTTCTCTTTCGATTTTATTGAGGTCCAGGCATATCCTTCAGTTTTACTGTAAAGAATTCCAGGTATTTGGAGGAAAAAGGAACATTTGAACAGTAGTTTGAATTCTGCTTCTAACAGGAGCCTATTTGAGAATTGTGTTACCAAAGCAACATGGAACCTGACATTCCTTGTCAGGAAAACAGATGTCCTGAAATTTGCAGCACACTTAGTTGCACATGTGTGTGATACACTGAAAATGATGACATCTGTGCAAGCAGTGCAGAAGATTGCAGTTTAGGTGAATTATTTCTTGTAACAAGTGATTCACATGTTAAGAGGAGCAGTGGAGCCCATTAGTGCTGGGATAGCAGATTGCAAGGTAAATGAATGGGATTTTGCTTGGGAGAGGTCTTCATTGGGTTTTACTTCTGCTATCTTTAAATTTTATTCTCAAACATACACACTATATTCAAAACCGTGACTATACAAAAGCAAGCTTATTAAGTAGTTCCTTTAGAATGTATGTACTGATCATGGATATTACTATTTATGTTTTTGTGCTTTAAAACCATTTACAAGATGAGTACAGTCAAATAGAATAGGAAAGGTCAGTGGGGGGGGAAGCCTTAGGGTAGGACAGGAGAGAATTCTTAACAAGTGGAAAAAGAGCATACCTTGGTCAATCAAAGCAGTCTTTCCTAATTTGGTGATGTCCAGATGGTTTGCAGTGCAACTCCCAACATTCCTGATTGTAGTTGTTGGGAGTGGAAGTCTAAGACATCTGGAGCACACTAGGTTGAGGAGACTCTATGTAAAACTGTGCCAGGAATTAAAATGTAGAATTTGATCAAGTGGGCAAGCAGTAGCATTGATGAAGATAACTATCAATATATAATTTTTATTACATATATATAAACAGCATGTACTTTATTTTAATTATACATGTGTGCTTCCAATATAGGCTATTTAACTGTGGTCCAAAAATGTGCTCAGTGATTCTCAGGATTTAATTTTTGCCTTGGACACATGTAACCATTCTGCAGTAGTAGTTCTGCAACATTCACAATGTTCTGCCACATTGATCTAGACATTCATTATTTTTGTTGCATTCTTAGTTGGCTCCTCATTACGAAAATGTAAAGAGTCAATTATTTATACAAATAAAAGTCCTCTGAAGTCAATATAATTACACTTTGCTCCTTTTAAATATTTGATATCATCTGGAATTATAAATGCCTGTGGTCAGACTCTACTGACATGAACTTTACCACAATATTAGTTTTGAGTTTAAAGCTGAGCATAGTAACTTCTAATTTATTTAATTCATTTAAATCTTTTAATTTAACTTAATGTAAGAAGTGTAATAGCTTATTTATTTATTTAATTTCTCCCACATGGAACTCGAGTGTCGTGAGCCAGGTGCCCCTTCCCAGCAAGAGCAATTGCTCTAGCAGATACTACCAATGCCTTTATTCTAGACAGCTACAAACCGCTCTTAACACATACAGAATAGAAGAAGATAGAAAGTTGACCTCTTGCTCTGACTAACTTCATGCCATGCTTAGGAACCCATTGAGGGCGCACACCCAGAGGCAGGGTGCCCTGAACTTTCTCGCCGTTCCTCCAATTGAGGCTCCATCTGCCCCAGTCTTGGAATGAGCGTCCTCAAATGCAGCCTGCTCCTTACCAGTTTTGTTGTCACACTCCGTATCATAATTCAGTCCTGTATCTGTCCCCAAAGAGGCTTGTTCCTGCGCCTCGTCTCCTGGCGGCAAAACACCATCTGTCTCTATGCCAGTCACAACATCTGGGGAAGTGGAGTGAGAATCCTGTACTGCTGGAACAAGGATTAATTCTTCTCTGGTTCTCACAAGAATTTCCACTCCCTTGTGCGCCCATGAGACACTCTTCTGAGCATGCACATACGGCATCAAGGTGGCTGCATGTGATTCCCAGGTGGTCTCTTCCAAGCTCTAGCCAACCTTGCTTAGCTTTAACATAACGGTTGATTTATGTCCTTCAGACCATTAAAAAAGGCTTTGGTGCAATAGGATGATGGTTACTTTCCTGCATAGCTACATTAAAACTTAGTAGCCAACACAACACAGTCACTATCTCCCACAGGGAACAAGGGAAGTGTAGGCACATTGGTTCATTGCAGGGTCTTGACCCTGTAATGTTCTACTGCTTTGAAATTTCTGGAAGTAACAAGAGAACTTGAAGGGCCATGGGCAGCTGATGATCCAGCATCAACTTTCTTCTTCCTCCTGCTTGTTCTTGCTTATTGTTTCCTCAACTGGATTTGTCTGCCAGGTAAAGGAAGGGCTTAGTTTGGCATTTGGGAAGCCAAACAGCATTTTCAGTGGGCTGATGTTTGCCCAAGAGTTATCAGCTCTACTTTAGAATTGTTGTTTTAAGACACAGCATGGCGGAATGAAGATAAAGTCTGTTGTCTGCTGCCCTCCAATCAGAAGTTAAGATTTTTTTAGGCTTATGGTTGGGCATTGTAACAACACTGAATTGTTTGCCTGCTCCTGTGTAATCCTTAAGCATTTCCTGCTGCTGATGTGATTCTTCACTGGATACTCACTAGTGTTTGTTGGCCAGAGAGGCATTATACATTACAGCAATGTGATTTGGTGCAGGCTGGAGTGAGGCAGGGTGAGAATTTGCAGATGAGATATGTGCTTGAACAGCACTTTCACTTTAATGTATGGCGTAAGTAAATATACTGAAAGTAAGATCTTACATGGTGGAGAAACAGAAGCTGAAAGCTCATAATTAGTTTACGCTTGCCCCTGTACATGTGTTCCTTTACATATGTTAGACTGAACAGTGCAATCCTACATGTGTTTTTCCAGAGGTAAGTCCCATTGAATTCATTGGGGAACCATTTCCAGGAAGTATAGGATTGCTGCCTAAAGGAAACATAACTGTTCATACTTCTTGATCTACTGCTTTATATTAGCTTGTAAACTTGCTCTTAGATTAGCCTAATATAGGAACATAACATACACTACAAGTTTATATACCATGGTTTTTAACTTGGTTCAAGAAGAACTTTGTCATGTAAAATAGCATTAAAAGAGAAGACTGAGATTTGCATGTTCCATCAAAAAGCAAAGAAGCAAGCCCAACAGCCTGTCGAAATTTTAGGATTGGTTCCAAAGTTCTTCAGATTGTGATTACATCAATGCTAGAGGTATTGGTTTTAAAGAAGAGTAACAGATAGTCCAAACATAAAAGACTGATGGTAGCATTTGAATAGTGCTAGTGTAATTTATTTGTATGTGTGCGGAAATGTCACATACCCATAGCATAACCTCCAACATTTTGTAAGATGAAAATAGTACATCCCCATACACTGGTGGATCATCTAGGATTGGAGTCTGAAAATGTCGTGCTTGAGCATGGCAGAAAATAATGGTTTCGCACAATGGCTTCTGCATGCTCATGTCATGTTCTGTTTAAGCTATGGTAGATTGTAGTGCATGATAGTGTGATTTTAGATGTTCAACCCCCAGCAAGGTGTTGGGTGGCAGAGGTTAAGCAGCCCACAAGTAACTCTGCAGCAGACCATGGCATAATTTGTATGATCGTGGCAGCTTATTGGAGCTTATTTAAGCCATAGTGAGCTCTGGCCCTTATGAGTGCCATCCTGAAAGTTTAAACCAGAATTGTTTGATATTGAACATTCAAAATGGCAATTTGGATCTCTGTGTACTGTAGACCTCTGTGGCTCAAATAAGCCACAATGGACTGTGGTGATCATGAAATCCAATCCATATAGTTTGATAATATTCACTATTTCCATGAATGTAATTGTAACATGGCGGGCATGAGTGTGACATGCCAATATATAGAAGCTGACTATTACAATTTCTTCAATTTTCTTCAGTGAAAATATGTCTTGTTTCTATTTGTTTTTATTCTATTTTATAAATAGAATTAAATTCTATTTGCTGGACCTGTGCTAGATAATTTGTAATAAGATAGCACATTCAATGAAGTAGAATTTAATTCATGTGGTTTCTCTGAAACTTTAGCAGTGGGAGGAAAGTTTGTTGTGAGAAAATCAGCAAATGTATACATAAAACCTTTTATGTCTAATTTATTTCTTCAGTAATTATAATGTCTGGAAACAACATAAATAAAGGGTGCCAAAAATACAACGGTACCTATATAACTTTGGTTTGGCAGTTTGTGTACGATGCTTATCCTGGACAATAGCTTTAGTTGCCATCACTAAGATAGAAAAATGTTTTTAGTTTCTAAAAATTGGGCCATTTGGGAGGTCAAATTCTGGGATAGGACACTGAAAAATACAACCTTCCTGGCTGAAACTGGACAGTTGGAAGTGTT